GATTGGAGGCCATAACTTCAACAATTTGTAACCTAGGAGAAAAGTTATTGTAAGCTTTTTTGTTTAAAATTTGATGCTTTAACAGAAAAAAATATAATATACAGGGGTTTCCATTTAAAAAATGTTATTTTACTGAAAAAAATCAAAATAACGACTCTCAATTGTTTTTTTTTATTTCTCATTTTTACCAGCGTTAAAAATGCTACTAGTTTGCTAATTTAAACAACTTTGTATTTTTACTAATAACAAAGTTACCAATGGTGGACACTTAATTTGGATAACCCTGTAGATAGATAAGAATATATGGATCTCATACCCTTGCTAAAATGTATTGTGTATAGGGGTATATACATTTTACATAGCATTTTATATTTCTGCCTTCACCTGTTCATCCCCTCCCTTCTGGTGAATATGCACTAGTGAACCTGAAACACAACTTAATAAGTAGCAAATACTTAACTCACACTATTGAAGTCAAGTTACTTGTTCCCTTTTATAAATTATGCCCCTGAAACCACCCTAGTCATTGTTTATAATTCTATAACCTTTATAGAAATAAATTTTGTGGACAGGTGTTAAGTTGACTGTCACTGTCAAAGATGAAAATCATAACATGTCAGCTGGCATGAAAATGTCCTGCGCGAAACGCGCGCAACAAGTGAGGAAAAAAAGATCGCAATTGCAATTTTTCGGTATCGAACAGATGGTCTGTTTCACAAGTGCGGAGTTGGTTCCGAAAAATAACGGAATAAAAGGAAAATCTTCAAAATTTCAATAGCTGTAGGCGTTCGCACCACTAGTATTGTGGGTTGGATAAGATTGGAAGGTTTCCCTTCACTTTAAAGGCCATCCTACAACCTAGGTACGTAGCTTACCATTTTATTGCTGCCTTTAGCTTATGCTTGAAGCACTCATGTAGTACCTGATTAATTGCCTTGTAGTGCATGTAGCTTATGCTTGACTTTTCTCCACAGGCCTTTTTCTTTTCCTTCTTCTTCTCTGGTTCTTCTTTCCTTCAACATCTGATTCCTGTACGTTCTCTTCTTCATTCTTCGTACACAACTAAGAGAAGGATTTGACCAGAACTACATTTTGCAACCTCAGAAGATAAACTGCTACATTGAACTTAGCATCGTTTGAAACCTTAACGTTGTACCGCTTTGGCTGGCTTTCTGCTACATTCCTACATTTTACCATATGAGGGCTGGTTAACACCACCAAGCGACCTCCAACAGGTTACATTCTAGAGATTACAGGTCAGACTAGACTATAAGGTTTATGTAAGACTTCAGGTTTGATCGCTGTAAGATTATCCACTAGTTTAAGATCACTTTGTACATGTGTCACCTTTCAGTGCCCATTTGGAGGCCCCCCTTCTCATGTAAAACATCACCTTGCCCAGTAAATTGTGTAATATTAGACATAGTATATCCGAAAGCAAGTGTACGAGTTTCATAAATATAAGGTAACCGACATCTCTTTTCGTGGGGTTCTTATACATAGGATACGGCATTGTCTTTTTATGAAATATACCTGTATATAGTTTAAATCTGAACTTTGTTATTCCTTTCATTGTTTACAGTTTCTACCGACAATTGGACAGGTTGAGCATTTGACACCGTGAAACCACGGCCGCCGCTACCTGGGAGTATAATAGTAGTACTTTTTACAGCACATACTAGGCATTCTTAAACTGGTAAGCTAGTTGGCGGCTGATCGACCGTCGACATCTCGGCCACCCACACCCGTAGCAACTGGCGCCAAACGTAGCAACTGGCGTCAAACGTAACATCGTATGCGGAACCAATTTCACCACGAATTTCATGTGCTTGCAGCAACAAACAATTTTTAAATCCTCTCGATTGGCGCTCGCCACCATAAGAAGGAAAGAAAACATAACGAAATGAAATGAAAATATATGCAAAAGTACAAATCAAGGCAATGAGTCAAGATAAATAACAATGAGCCTCAGTGAAACTGGATAGAATAGCAATTAAAGAATCAGCATGTACGAGTATATCACGATTGCTAGATGCGGTGTTGAAATTTTCAACAGCTACATGCAATGGTGACTTGATCCCTAAACTAAAGGCGTCCTTGAATCGAATGTCTCGCAGTCTGGAAGACGCAAAGCACAGATTTTCCACATGAAACATTGAGAACAAACATTATTCTAGCCACATCTGCACATACCCTGAATTACGAGCGAAACTTTATGGGAAAGGGGCATTCATATTTCTTAGCGAGTTGCAGATCCATTAAACGCCAAATAGCTATGTGCATATATCATACAGGCAGAATGCAAGGGATATCCTTGCCGACCGCGAAAGTAATTTACAGTCCACTAACCTTACATAGTGAAATAAAAGCGGGAGGTGCTAGTTATATACTTCATACATTTTGAATACTTTTTATGTACAGTTTTCAAAATCTTCTCTCCACATTACTGGTAGCACGTACTCGGAGCGGTAAGAATATTGGGACTTTCCTTTTCAGATACAACTAAGTTCGAAGTAACAAAGGTAATATGGTATAAAGTACCAGCGGGACGGAAATAAAAAATGCAAAAGTCATCAGTTGCCCATTTCATAAGTAATTTGGAGTATGCCTTGTCATATGTTGGTTTCAAGTACTATTCGAAATTCTGGCCTCTCAACGCAAACATGTAAGATCGATAATTTCTTAACCAATTTGCAAACTTTGGGATCATCTAGACTTGTCGGCAAGTATCTATTAATTGTCTTTGCATGAGATAAACAAACATATGTGGCGCGAAGTGGAAACATCAAGAAACGGAGCTGAATACTCTGGCGGGGGATCAGCAGCATGTTGAAGACAATCAGTTTAAGCCAAACCAAACATCATATCCCAATGTTTATTATACGTGCAGTAATATTAGCCTTGACCTTGAAAATGACTCTGTACACTCCCGAGCCCTGAAAGACAAACACTACAAATTGTACAGTTTTGGAAGTTTGCTCTGCATGTGTAGTTATTTTGTGATACTACTGAGCAGCGCTAGTAGTTACTGAGATATTTTTATTTCCCACACCTTCTGGCACGTAATCGTGGAAAGTTTGGAAAACGTGATATTATGTTTTTTGGATGTTACGTGACATGAACATCATGAAAAAAACCATACCGAACGTATTACCTTACGAGCTGATGACAGTTTTACAGAGTCGATTACTTTTGTAACTTGTAGACATGGAACAATTATTGGCGAAGTTGTATGTCTCCAATGACTAGACCTGTATCGTACTGATGAGTGCTAAGTAGCATGAAACAACATTGTATGAGGACTCAAACATATTTTATCAACAGTTGTAGTGTTTGTGTTATAGGTCCCTGATAATATATATATATATATATATAATATGCAATATGTGGAGCATATTAAATAAAATACACAAAAGACGTATTATCGTGAATTCTGAAACGTTGTGCGTGGGAGGAATTATGATATCATAAAGGAGACCCTTGTTTCAAAACAACGTTTATTTATAAATGATGTGCAGGTTTACGTTGTAAACCGGATATGAGAATTTTATCAACAGTCGCCGGAAATTTCAAAGGAGCAAAATTTATTTTCCTCCTTGTTAAATTTTCACCGCCGTGGCAGCAATATCTTCCTCGGCGAGATGATGGAGTATCTTTTTGTTAATTAGTGCCATGGAATCCGGTTACTATACCGAGGAAAACGATGTCTTTAATTGAGAGAAGGTAAAAGGACAAAACGGCGCCCTCGTCCCTGCTGCAGCAGTTTTCATAAAGGCTGTATAGAATAACATTGTTGTACACCTGTCTCTCGTTCTTTTCCTTTGAAGTTACTTTGGCTGAGTAAATGGGACAAACCGTAGTATCGTTAAAATATCAGATGCAAAACCTCACTTTGCGCATTATCGATGATGGGAAACAGTTCCGCAGTTTTATGGCCTGTCTTTTTATTTATCAGCTTAAGCGTTCGTCTCCCTCGACTTTCGTGACTCTTAGCTTTCTGCACTCTCTTGACCGCAAAATTCAGGTAGTCTTGAAGGCTAAGTGACTGTTATCTTATTATGCTAAGCACAACGGGTCTATTGAATAAAAAAACAGTTGCCTTGGAAGTACAATCTTATAAAGATAAGTTGATACTTATAGGCAAGGGGTGTTACCTGTACAGATTGGCTGTCAGAGACTTAGATTCGCCAAGTTATTGAGAAATCATAGAGCTCTTTTGAATAAATCAATGATTCCATCGATTGTTGAAGCTAAAGACAACGCATGGATGAACATCAAAGACGAATTTGTCAAGACTTCTGGTACAAGTATTACCATTAAGAAATTGAAAAATATCCTCAATAACATGAAAACAGATGTATTGAGAAAAACTTATAAAAATTCGACTGGCAACAAAAAATTAAACTACGTGAGTTGGAAAATAAATTTTTGAAAATACTGAATTATGAAAAAATGCAGTGTTCGTAAAAGTTTCTTTATCTACAGACACGATAGATAAGCGTCTAAGGAAGAAAAAATTCAAGCAGGGAACTAAAGGAACCGAAAACTTGTCAACACAAGAGTTACAACGACTTGTTCTACTTGAACAATTAAATTCTGCTAGAATCCAGGCGAAAAGAGCACAACTTATGATATGAAACTGACATATGCTGTGCCAAACTCTTATCCTACAAATAGTACTCACAAATAAGATAATACTGGCGGCACTACGAACGAGTTACGAGCATTCATAGATATGTAATACACAAGTATTCATTTCATTGTCATTTCAACAATTTATTTTGATTCTGTATTCAAGGACTAATTAAATTAAGTACCGGAACTACAGAAACTTGTTACTTATTTCAATATTATTATTATGAATAAAGCACATTATGGTATTACACAAAAATGTACGGCGTCAATTAAGTGACAAAATAATTAATAAATAAAACCATATGATGACAAATTCAAGTTAAATCTATAATCATTTTAAACAATATGGTTAAACATTGTCTCCACTATTGCTTGACGTTTTTCGCACCTTTTTGCCGAACGTTATATACTTCCTCTACATCATAGGGCACATCATGTAAGTCCTCGGGGCGGTTAATTTCATTTTCTTCGATACCAAAGTCATCCGCAAATGTTATGTAGAACAGCACAACAAACAATAATTTTTGGAAGTTTTGCCAAAGATACTTATGATTTAAAATGGGAAATCTCAGTTTTAGCTGCCGAAATACTCTTTCAATTGTCACTTTTTCTTTGGAATGGGAAACATTGAATAGTTCCTTTTTTCAGTTTTGAGGGTTTTTAAATGGAGACAAAAACCGTGGAATAATTCCATATCCACTATCTGCGAGAAGGTAAAAATTACCTCGAGATAGAGCTATAATTTCAAATACTGAACTTTGTTTCCTAATTCTGGAATCGTGAACGCTTCCAGGCCACTGCCTATCTACACTTCATCGCTTCATTTGCATCACAAGCTACTTGTACATTTATACTCGCAAATCCTTTTCAATTGACATATTCGTCACCAAGATCTGAAGGATTTTTGATTTGCACATGAATACAGCCTAATGCACCGATTACAGTAGGTGTAACAAGTCGTTCTTGCTTCTATCATGCCCTCCAGGTCAGACGGGAGTTTTGTCCACTGATGGGCTCTTTCGAATACTTTCTCAGCAGCATAGTCTATAATTTTGCATACCGTTTATGGTCACTGCCGAAAACTTCAGCAATACCTGTTTGAAATCCAGCATAACTAACGGGTGATTTTTTAGGAGGTATAGGATTTGATTTTCAAAAAAAAACAAAAATTTGAAAAAACGATTGAATCTTTATTTGAGTCGATAGAACGGTCGATATAATTTAATGTTTAAAGATTATTTCATGTAAATGTTGGCCGCGGCTCCGCTTTAGATGGCACATGCGCAAGGTCCAATTTTGGCACACTCTCTCCAACATATCGGCCGGTATCTCACGAACAAATGCTTCAATATTGGCTTCCAGTGCGTCAATCGTTGCTGGTTTATCCCTGTAGATATTAGCTTCAACATGGCCCTACAAGAAATAGTCCAACGGCGTTAAATCACACGATCTAGGCGGCCAATTGACCGGCCCCAAACGTGAGATAAACTGTTTATCGAACTCGCCTCTCAATAGGGCCATTATTTCGTGTGCGGTGTGGCACCGTCTTGTTGAAATCACATGACAGCCAAGTCCAGCTCTTCCATTTTGGGCAAAAAAAAGTTTGTTATCATCTCACGGTAGCGCTCGCCATTCACAGTTACCATTGTCGTCTTTGAAGAAGTACGGCCCGATGATGCCACCGGCCCATAATCCACACCAAACAGTGATTTTTTCGGGATGCATTGGTAGCTCTTGCAATGCTTCTGGCTGGTCTTCACCCCAGATGCGGCAATTTTGATTGTTAACGTACCCATTCAACCAGAAATGAGCTTCGCCGCTGAACACAATTTTTCGATAAAAATGTGGATCTTCCTCCAACTTTGCCAGCGCCCATTCACCAAATGGGAAACGTTGTGGGAGGTCGTGTGGCTTCAATTCTTGCACGAACTGTATCTTATAAGGTTTAACACCCAAATCCTGTCGCAAAATTTTCCACGTAGTGGAGTAACAGAGGCCCAATTGCTGCGAACGGTGGCGAATCGACATTTCTCGGTCATCACTAACACTGGCAGATAAAACCGCAATATTTTCTTCAGTCCTCAATCTACGTCTGCTTCATGGTGGTCTAATGTCCAATAATGTAAACTGGGTCCGAAATTTAGTCACAGGCTTCCGAATAGCTCCCTTAGTAGGCCGACCAAATTGCCCATAAATTGGAAGCAGTGCTCGATGCACTCTCTTCACCGAGCATGAATTTTGATAGTAAAATTCAATAATTTGCAAGCGTTGTTCGTTCGTAAGTCGACTCATGGTTAAATTATAGACCAAACTGAAGAAGTTTGACAATGACGCAAGACACGATTCACGCGTCATCTGTCAAAAACAGTGTTGCCAAAATGATACTAGCAACAAAATCACCCATTAGCTTATCGCAGAAATATTTACATTATTTGCCGTGAGGTAAGTGCACTTCCTCTGGTTTCATCCACCTGCGAGAGAAAATGTTCTCATAAACAGTTTCGCCTTCAAAACCCAATAAAAACTTAGATTTGCTAGGACTTATGCTTTTTCTTTTTCTGTAGTACTTAGTACTGCAAACATTTATTAGGTTTGTCGTTATTAAAATTATGCTTCACTGATAAAAGTATGCGTTGGAGATACCTTATCACACATTAAGTTAGTTCCTATTGATTTTAAGGTATTCTTCTTTTTATTCAAATGAAAAGAAGGAAATACTGGGAAAACGTAAGTGAAGTCAAGTAATTACTTGAAACTGAATGAGTTTACTTAATACTATCAGTAGACTCTTCTTTATGAAGTAGTTACTGACATTTTGTTTAATGCTTATCAAGTAAATACCTCAATACCAGGAAGTATGAGCAAATAATTTTTTTCAATAGATTCAATTGGGTGTATCTACGATTTTCAGGCACTCTTGGTTGTTTATACATAGTGAGTCAGAGTGATTTTCTCTACTCAAGCTTTTCAACCTGAACATTCAACAGCTTCTTTAAAATCCCACAGATGAGCCAGAGGTTTAAACATTGAACGCTTTTTTCTCAGTTTCGCGTTAGCTGCAGATACCCCCTGTGCTCAGCAGTATAGATATGTTTTTATCACCCAAGCAGTAGCGCAGGCAGGAAACTGTTAATCCGATTTTTGAACTGCCTAAGGTTAGTCGAACTGGTGTTCATGTCAATTGTTCCTCAATATCGATATCCTTAAGACAAAGGAGCGGTCATATCGACCAGTTCTGGACATACGAAGTTCGACACGATTAGGATGTGCATATATGTTTAGTTGGTAACACTGAAAGAAATATTCATTTCTGGTTTGTTCTATGTTCTTTACATTTTAGAAACAAATGATGTATCAATAGCCATGTCAGTCACAATCCATTAAGTCGTTTATTTCAGAACAGATTTCACCATCTCCTCGATAACTAAAAGGGCCAGAATGAACCAAAACGAGCATTGATGTTTGCTACCCTGTTTCTCGACCATCACTGCCGTCTGTAATTAACCCCCAAAGGATTATTGTCTGGGAACGGTGGTTGCCTGGCCGCCTGCCGATCGCATCGGCCCGATTTGCCCGTATTGTTGCCGCCCAATTTATTACTTATCTGTTTCTCTTAAGCGAATGTTCTTGTTTTGCTGAATCGCCTGTTTGCCTCGCCAGCGTTACTGCGGGCTGCTCGATCTGATCGGACAAGCTGATTCATTAGGAGGCAATCTGAATTGGCTCCAGGCATTTGCCAGTCCGAATTAACAGGATGTAAGATACCTTGATACGATTACGGTCATTTGTCATATTAAGACTACAAAAGAATATTTTCATTAGCTTGAAGAGCTTATTTCTCTGTATGCTTCGTCCTGGCCAAAAGTCTTTCTGGGCAAGCATCAGCTGTGTAGAGGTAGGAAGTGCTCTTCGCTATCTAGTCTCTTCAACCTTCACAAAGTCCATAATTATGAGAATTGAACTGTGGGGACTTATGACACCAACTGCACGGCTCAAGATTGATGCGTCAGCAGGTGTTCTCAAGCCTTTCCCAAGTGGAAAAGCCATCAATGTTCTACAAATAAGCGTCCAGGCTTCTAGCTCTTACCCAGGCAATCTCAGAATGAACTTTAGTCTCTGGTATCACTGGCCTTATAAAGGGTGCACCGGATTAGAGTTTGCCGCTATTTTTTTGTACAAATGGTATGGCGTTTACTTGATGACAGCTGTCATGTCCAGACCACGCGATTAGGCGTCATGGAGCAGTATTTAAACAAGCAACATTTAATTATTGTGAAGGCTCACTACAAAAATGGAGAAAATTACGTGGAAAAAGTTCCCAAATACGTACAATTTATGGTCGTAATAATGCGCCAAATGAATCGACAGTTCGCCGTTTAATTACAACATTTGAGAAAAAATTCACGTTGCTGAATGTGAAGACCACTGTTCGTCGCCGACCTGATCGATCGCTCGAAAATGTAGTCACAGTGTAGGAAGGTGTGGCCGAGAATCCAGGCACATCCATTCGGCATCGTGGGCAAGAATTGAACCTTACCAGACGCAATCTGCATAGAATCGAATTTCGACAAAAGATCTGTGCTTGCCTGCGTACAAGGTTCAACTGAAGCAAGAAGTCAGGCCAGCGGACCATGCGCAGCGCCTTGGATTCGTTGAGGCACATTTTTAACTGAACGGGTACGTCAATAAGCAGAACTGCCAAATTTGGGGTTCTGAAAACAACCAATGCATCAGCCGCGAGTTACCGTTTTTTGCGCATTGTGGAGTGGCGGAGTGATTGGACTGTATGTCTTCGAAAATGCAGCTGGAATTGCGGCGACTGCTAATGGTGTGAGGTATCGCGAAATGTTAACCGAGTTCTTGTGGCCCCAGTTGGATCGAATTGATGTGAAGGATGTGTTCTTCCAACAAGTCGGTACGACCTGCCACAAAGCACGCGAAACAATGAGTATCCAGACCATGTCATCTCTCGGTTTGGCGATCACAATGGGCCACCAAGATCGTGCGATTAACGCCAATAAACTTCTTCCTCTGGGGCTATGTGAAGGAAAAGTTGTATGCGAACAAGCCACAAACAGTTGAACGCCTTAAGGAAGAGATACGGCGCGTTATCGCCGAAATAGAGCCATTGTTGTGCGGAAACGTTATCCAGAATTTTAAGAAAAGACTAACCCTGTGCCAGAGGTTTCATGGTGGCCATTTACCGGATGTCCTATTTCATGTTTAATCGCAGCTATTCCTTTTCATGTTGAAATATAATTCGAAAATAAATTGTGTTTTCCTTGAAAATCAAATCCGCGACACCCCTTATCAGGCCAGGATACATAAAATAGTTTGACGTTTCGCTTTCTCAATCAATAGAAAAACAGAACTTTTGTGCTGTGTACAAGAAGTGCCCTAGTGCTCATCAGCAGTTTTGATGCGTGGACGAGTTCTGCCAATGAGCCACTCAATCCACGAGGCCAAATCATCAAGGACTGAGGACAGCACGCTAGTAGCATCAACTTACTAGGTTATATTTTCTGTTTAGGGCTAAGAAATAATTTTCTCCATACAACCTTCTCACTCTGTAAAGGCCTAGGTAAGACCTAGCCTCGAGTACTGCTCACATGTTTGGAGTGCTGTCAACAAACTATTCTCCTCCGAGCTCTCCTCGATGATGCCGCGAGGCGTTCAGCCATCAAAGCGGGTCCGCCAAGCTTCTACCTCCCATCTTCTGTGTGTAAGCGTTGCCTAAGCGTTATGAGCTATTAATGGTTGGCTCTGATGTTATATAACATCTGCTTCGGAGATGGTGTTACTGGAGTTCTAAGCTATAGTTTGTACACTATAGTTGGAAGGAAATGGCAGTGCTTCAGTGCATAGTGGGGATTTGTGTGCTAACAATCTTTGTTGATGACAGTAATGCCATTACTTG